GCTGAGCTGGGGACACAGCATCACTCTGGGGCTGTAAGGTGCTCTAGCAGTGGGTTGTGCCACTGTCACTAAATGCAGCATGATGCTGTTTGTCTGGTTACTTTTCCTTATATTCCAGCTGGGTATTCTTGTCCCCTCCTTGCTGCCAACAATTGGCTCAGAGTTGATCCTGCCTCCTTCCAATTGAGGTCCTGAAGCTGCTGGTGAGACAAATGAAGGGCAGGTGAGATCTCAGCTGACTTCAGTTCCCCCAGATCCTTGTTACAGTGACGTGGGGATGGGTAGAACCCCCACACTGTCCCTCTGGGGGAGGTGGTCCCTGGGCAAGGCAGCTCTGCCAACGAGCTGAGGAGGAGGACAGTTGGCAGTAGGAGAAGTTCTCCCCTGTGATGTGACACCTCCACCCCCAGAACAGGAGTTTGGGTTATTTTTCCATATGAAAGAGGCTGTGGGGAGGAAGCCTTTGCCTGCTCTCAGCTATTCTGATTGCTGCAGCCACCACCCTTCCTCAGCACCCACGGACAGTATTTTTAGGGCTTGTTTGCCTCACTTGGCTCCAGCTCATTCTTTCTTCGGCTGACAAGGACTTCCCTCCTGCAGCTGCCCAGGTGGCACATGAGAAACCACAGCCCTGTCTGGAGAGCCTTCTCCTTCCCCTTCCCATCAATCAGGTCATTCTCCAGCATGTGATGGGGAGCAGCACCTGGGACAGCACGGGGAGGGAGAGGACACACCAGTGCTGCTCTGGGATCGGTGGGAGCAGCTGTCAACTCCCCCAGTTCCAGTTTGCCTCCCATCCAGCCCAGATCACTAGAGGCTTTCACACCATGACTTAAAGACACATATACACATAAATAAAGAACTGTTGGGGAAGGAGAAATGATCAGCAGTGATGCTTGTCCACAGCAATGAGGAGTCCTGGGCTCGAGTGCTGGAGGTTTCCCAGGATAACATGGAGAAAGGGACTGCAGGAACCACCCAGGCTCCACACAGCTGTGGGTGGTTGTTGTTTCTCCTGCTTTCAGGTAGTTTCTGGCCGACCTGTGGCCCCTTTCTCTAACGAGGGCTGGGTTTTTTAATTGGCTTTCTAAAGAAGATGTAAACTGAGATTGGCCCAAGTTCCCTAGTGGACGGTGAAAGAAAATTAATTTCTTTCTCTTGCTGGCCAAAGGTACTGAAATGGGTTAAATCCACCCTAGAAATGCAACTTTTTTTTTTCCACTTTAACAAGTTCTGTCTGATTCAGCTGGAATATTCATGGCCAGAGGTGTGACCTTGCATGGTTGCTTGGTGGGATAAGTTTTAGTGGTTCAAGTTAGGGCTATAAGTTGGAGTCTCTGTTTTCTTAAACAGGAAAGATCCTGACTATTAGCAGTCTGGTTTGCAGGGGATGGTTAGAGCACAGTGGCTCTCTGCAGGTCCCCAGTGCTGGCTCCAGGCCCTGCTCAGCCCTGCAGCCTCCTGGGGCTCAGAGCAGTCGACGCATCTGACCTGGCTGTGGTGAGACCCAATGTTTATTTAAGGATCCTGGGGTTTAGAGTGCTGTACCTCGAAATGTGTTGTGGTGCTGTAGTCTGGAGATGATGCTTGAACCTCTGGGTCAGATGCTGAAATTCACCTTGTACTTTCTCTTTCGGGAGAAACGGTGAGACTCAGTGAAAGCAGAAATGGCCTTTGGCTCTGGTGTTCCTACGTCAGACTTCGTGTCTTGTGTTCTTTGAGGTTCTTCCTCTCTGTTCCGTGGTTGCAATTATGAGACAGTTTGTGTAAAGGGTATGGGTCATCCCTGTGTGCCTTGAGGTGTAAGCTCACTGGGGAAGCCAGGGAGGAGCACTGTGTGCATGTTAGTTGTGCCTGTTCTAGTTCCTGCTCTCACCCTGGCTGGGGATGTTGGAGCCCCCAGAGCTGTGGTCACTGCCTCTCCCCAATTCCCACAGTGACAAGGAGTATCACTGCTGAATTTTAGTCTGAAAGGGAACAATAAAATGTTCCAGCACGAGGGCTTTTCACAAATGTTGGTGAGTAGCCATGAGGTGTATCCAGCTGTTAGGGCAGGTGGGTTGGAGTTAAAATACAGACTCCTTAACCTGCTGGTGACTTGGAACCTGTACAACCATCAGCAAATGAAGTCAACCAACATTTTTCTCGTTTGTTTTACATGCTACCTTTCCAGGGCAGCACTGGTACGAAGCTGAGCTGATCAGGCAGCCCCTGAGAGGACCTAGGGCTGTGACTGCACGAGGTACATCCGACAGAGGAAATGCAACAGAAAACCAAAGGTGGTTTATTTAAATTGTTACAATTTATTTTCCACAAGTAGCAAAGTACAGTCAATTTTCAGACATCAGTGGGGAACCTCAAAGGGATCTTAGGCCAATGTTAACGTGACTCCTCTTAATTAGAGGCAAATTTGTTCCTTCCATTGCATTTAAATGTGGCAAGTTGGGCACTCTGACACCATCTCTGCCTCGTTAGGGCACCATCTGCTGCTGCCCCACCTGATGCCTTTGGATCTCATTGTCCAGAGCAGAGCAACGAGGCTGGTGAAGGGACTGGAGCACAAGTGCCATGAGGAGAGGCTGAGGGAGCTGGGGGTGTTCAGCCTGGAGAAGAGGAGGCTCAGGGGACGCCTCCTCACCCTCTGCAACTCCCTGCCAGGAGGTTGGAGTCAGGTGGGGGTTGGTCTCTTCTCCCAGGCAACCAGCAGCAGGACAAGAGGGCACAGACTCAAGCTCTGCCAGGGGAGGGTTAGGTTGGATCTTAGGAAGAGATTTTTTCTGGAGAGAGTGCTCAGGCATTGGAATGTGCTGCCCAGGGAGGTGGTGGATTCACCATCCCTGGAGGTTTTCAAGCTGAGACTGGATGTGGCACTTAGTGCCATGGTCTGGTAACCACAGTAGGGTTGGACTTGATGATCTTGGAAGTCTCCTCCAACCTGGTTGATTCTATGATTCTATGATTCAATGATTCATTTATGGAAGCAGCTGTGTGTTGTCCTATTTGGAACACCTCTGGTCCATAAAGACCTGAAGACATCTCCATCAGCAGGAGGGGAATGGCTTTTATCAACAGGAGCCAAGTGCAGCTCCGTGTGTTGGTAGAGCAGTTTTCCTGCTGGAATGAGGTGAATGGATTCCACATGGAAAGATTCCGTGAGAGCAGTGTGTGTTAAGGATACATTCAGGAACATATTTTACTTCTTCTGTGTAAAGCAGCTTTACATATTGAATATACATTGAGAAAATATTGTTACAGGTGAGGAAAACTGGAAAGACCTGAGCCAGGGGTGACCTGAGCCAGGGGTGACCTGAGCTAGGGATGTCTCTTGCTCTGGCCAAACTCTTGTTGGCTGTGTCTTGCCTGAGTAAGGACAAGGAACAAACCAGGGATAAATGTCTGTTTGGTGTCAGTTGTGACCCCCATTTCATGTGGCAGAGAAGCAGCAGTTCTGTACATGTTACCTGGGCATTGTATAAGTAACTGAGATAAACAGTGCAGCACAGACAGGTAACATGGATGTCCTTTATTCTCAAATCCCAGCCCTTGGCAAAATCCCACAGCCCAGACCCAAATGGATAATGAAGAATTGATTTAATTAGGGTGGCAGCCAGGTAAATAACTGGCAGTGCTGTCTCAAAGTTCTGCCTTGGAAGGTTGATCTTACTCCTCATGTCTCTAAAGCTTTCCAAACTATGATCCCGAGTTCCCTGTCTCGCTCCTGATGGATCCATGTGTGGAAACAAAAGGATAAATGTCTGTTTACTGAGTGTTTTGCTCCTTGGGCTCTGTGTGTTGGGGGGACATGGACATGGCTCCTCTGCCAGCCCCAGGAGCTGCTCGTGGCTGAGACCTCTCCCCACTGAGATGGCTCCAGGAGAGCTGTGTGCTGTGGGATCAGAGCACACAGGGCAAGGACAGGAGCAGCTGCACAGGCACTGCAGCAGCTCCTCCCAGCTGACGTTCAGCTGTCCCACCACGACGGCTCCCAGGG